AAATATTGTTAAGCGCTGATAAGAGATAAGGACCAAGCCACACACCCCGGGGCGCAACCTGTCGTGTCGGAAAACATCGACGCCCGACGGGGCGACGCGAATACGCGATTCCGATCACGGCGTATGCGGCGGCGGCAGTAGTGTGCAGTACACTCCCTCCTCAGGCGCAATCGTTACCCCACTGCCGCTCCGGACGTCTTCATCGTCTGCAGTCGATCTGTCTGCTCCGATTTGTATTTGCTATTCATTAATATTATTTGGTGCCTTATTGGTCCCCCCCCAGTCGGTAGTCACTACTTACCGGTTTAGTACGGTAGTAGCCGTCGAGTAGACCCGTCCTACGTTTTGGGCTTGTCGGTACCCGCTTGTGCGTGTCGCCTCCCAACACTCGCCCGTCGTTATAAATACCAAAAATAGACGTGCGCGATCGATTATTATAATATGCCGTGTAGCGGACGATCCGAAATGTGTCGAATACATCGAAATTAACCTGCGTTTAGACCTTGAACGGTTGTGCGTATTGTTATTTGTTATCATCGCACAAACAATTCGATTAAACCCGTCGCAAATAATAATAAAACTACATATTTACTCGGTCGTGCCATACACATAATAGGTACTTATATTATAATATTTCGTAGTATAAAAAAAAATGTATAAATTATGCAAGAGTATTGCACTTGTCAATTTTGTGCGAGTACTGCATTCTGCGACCATGTGCAATCTACTCGGTACTCGATAACAATAATTTTATTTATATTTTAGTAAAATACGCCCGAGTTGTTTTTATAATTATTGCGAATCGCTCCTATTAATCAGTGCAGTTTGTATGTTATAACTCGATTAATGTTTTTTTATTTTTAAATTGTGTTTGTAGTTTGAGCGATTCTTTTGACATTTATGGGATGTAATTCGAGCAAAAGTACGTCTAAAGCTGTACACAAAAAAAAAATACTACCCATCATGAGCTTCCTGCCGTCCAGCAATGTAAGAGTAATAATACAATTTTTCGTCTCTTGAGGCGTTCATTAAAAACACGAACAATTAGTCTATAAGTCACAAATTTGCAATGTGTAGTTGAAAGTTTTAAAATGCACTCCATCATCCGTGCACACGAAAACTTAAAATGCATTACGTTGTGTGTGTAATGTAATAAAATTCCATATAGTGTAGGTGTAGGGATTTAAGTGTAACCTTTCTATACCTTATTCAATTTGACAATTTATAATAAATTCCAACTTGTGTTTTTTTATTTTTCAAAGTTATACAAAATTTAAAATAGATTTTATTAGGTACATAATATACTATACCTACCTATCTAGATTTTGTCATTTTCATTAAATCTTACAATTTAAAATATTATTCTATTGTTATTGAAAATTATTTCCTGTTCATTTTATTTTATCATCATTACACGTTACAACATTATATATTTTGTAATCGTTTGAGTTATTATAATTCATAACCATTGTTATAAAGCATGTTTATGTGAATACAAAACAATATACCCATTTAAGCATACTAATATAATATCAGTGGGTATGGGTTTCATTATCCTTTGTGAATGAATCATTGAAATTCTCGTATATTATTCAGTTTTATCTTTTTAACTAACATTTCACAGATTACATTTCAAGGTTTTTGTTCTGGAGACATGTGTCAACTCGATAAACAATAGAAAGTGAAGAAAACAACATAATAGTATAATAGAAGAGTTTATTCTTTTCTATAAAAAAATTTCCTTGGTGACTTTCATATTTTCAAGTGTTTATTAAAGCAATAAAGCCAAATAAGTTAAATTACAGGTACATCAACAAACCAAATAAATATTGCAACTAATCCGTTATGGCATTATCTAACATGCTAATCAGCCATAGATATATTTATGTATATGATTACTAACATTACACTGTTAAGGTTAACAATATTAAAACAAAATCGAGGAGTTGTTTATATTATCAGTTTTGTTTCCATTGGTAGTAATACATTTTCATTTTTTGTTGTTGGGGGAAAGAGAAAAATAAAAATAAATAATGATGACGCATCATCCCTTTTCCGAGATCATTTCTACCCTCCCCAGCTTGGTTAGTACTTGGTATTGATCCAATCTACTGAGCATGTCCAGTAGTTGAGTTGCATGCACATAGCACCTTACCAACCCCCCTGGCTTTCATAATAGGTATTCGATTGCAGTGGATGTATATTTTCGCGTTGTTTTTTTACATTTAATTTCTAATGTGCATGCATTATTTATTGCTAAATGCCTCATTACATTTAAATCAAAAGGTTGCATTAAATCAAAAAAAAAAAAACGTTCTAAATAAAATAAATATCACAACATTTTAATACGATATTTTGGTTGATTAATAATAAACAGAGCGTGCTGCAGTATTATATTATATAAACGTGTACATTGTTAAATCACGTGTTAAAATAAGACAAATGAATCATACGTGATAGTTTATTTAATAGTTTAAAATATAACTTATCGAACAATAAATCAATAGTTGTTGACAGCTTTAACATTGAGTTTTTCGTATATTATTGTGTTAAAATTCCCTATAAATAGCATTTCTGCCTGCAGTAGTAAACAAACATACCTATACAGTATACATATTGTTAAACTATGTTGCAAAATATTATGCACTTATCAGATTTGCATTAGACAAGACACTTCAAGAAAATATTACAAAATAACTACAAAATAATGGTAATATCATTAAATCTAAAAGAATTATTATTTTTTTAAATGTTCAATAACTTATGATTTATTAATAAGTAGTTAATTTAATACACGAAACAGTATTATACCGTGTTTGTTTTCGTTCATCCCCGCTTAGTATATAGGTAGGATTGGCGCAATTAAATCAAACGCTATAGTCCAACAAAAAAAGAAATACCGTATTATTATAATATTTAGTAATGCATTAATTAATAAATATTATATTTTATTAAACAAAATTCCAAACAAGCTTTTAAAACTGCAAACATTTAGGGGAAGTTAACATTTATAGTTACGTCAATGCGTACATTATGGTTACACTATAGTGAAATGTCGAAACTTATTTTGTCTTCTCTCTCCAATCTATGCGCAATATGACGATTTTACATTCAACTAATCTTGAGTTGTTAGCTTTAATATTTGAGTGAATTGACCTAGTGACGAATGTTAAGTTAAGAACATGACCTTTGTTTGTACGTTAGCTTTATTTGCATACAAATTGAAATATCCAAACAATGCAGACTTTCAAACATAGATAACGTTCTCAACTCTTAAGTTAATTGGTCAATTTAGGCTAATTGGTCAATTCAATAATATTAAAGCAGACAGAAAAATATTGGTTTTATTGTACCCAAATATGCTCGTGGGTAAGAGAAAACTAATGTTGATCTGACATCTTAGAATGATGCCACACCCGCCGTGGTGTCTACTTTTTACAATTTATAAACGTTTGAGGTTTGACATCACAATTTTATGTTCAGTAGTTTTAGTTTTGCGTTATAACCTTAATAGTAAAGAGAATTTACCTATTATCAAACTTTAAGAATATTATATCTTTTTCGTGATATTTTTAGGATATTTTAATTTTTAAGCGAGTTATGAGTAATAATCTAAAATATTACAATTACAGAATTCACATAACTTGTTTAAGAATTAAAATATAAAAAACCAATGTTCTTACCTTTAAGTATGACTATAGCCTATAGGTAAATTCACTATATTATTGAACCTCACCACATGAAATTGGACCTGCTGAACACAAATTTACCATGCGTTTGATTTTTTAAAAATATTATTTTCTTACTCAGATTTTAAAATAGTACGAAATCGAACAACAATTTTTTTTATAATTTTACGTTTAGACATATAGCTCCATAATACAGTGACATTTTTGAAAATATTTATAACTAATAAGAAAAAAGTTATTGACTAAGACAAATAATATATTATGGTGAGTGATGACTTGTACTGGTGTCTGTAAGACAAGCTTTAAAATAGTACCTACCTACCTATCAATACTTTTTTTCAAATTACTACTTTAAGGTACACGATGAATCGACGATTTTTTCTATCTTTATAGTTACACTTATGTATTAATCGTGATACCAAAATTCTTTTGTTTTTTAAAACAAAAAATCATTATATTACAATTCTTAATGGACTATACCTAGATATAATTTAAAGAAGGTAGAATACAACAAATAATTTTGCGCATGTTGATACAATATTAAATGATTATTGCACTCCAAATTATATTATATGGTTATTTGTAATAATATGTACATTTAAATCTATTATCTATAAATATAATCATTGGAATATTGGATGATAATTTCATTAACAGTTATTTAAATATGATGATGTTTTGACCTGTAGTACGCGTGTTGTTGGATAAGTAATTTGATATACATTTTAGTACCATACAAACAACAGATAAAAATTAAAAATGATTTCATCATTCATATTACCTCTGTTATTGTGAGTTGTGACCATTACTTTCTATGTTTTTTTCTTATCCGGTTCACGAATGTATAGGTACTAAGGTTTATAATATTACAATGAATAATAATCAATCGGAACATTGATTCCCGGTATTGGGCAATGGCCAATGAGTATTCGTCTTGTTTGGTTCGCAACGCCTATTAACTAATTTCTACGGAAATTTTGTTGAGAGAAAACAATTTTAGCGGTGTATTTATAGGCACCGTGTATTTTCGATTTCAATTTGAAAATTAGTTATATATCTGTAATTTTAATTGCGTATCTTGGTAAAAATAACGCTTTATTCTTTTAGTTTTTAAAGTATAATATTAATACACTTTGTAGATTTTGGAGTCGTTTTGAATAAATTATAATTTTATAGTATAAAATATATACTATGAATTATATTAATAACTTATGTAGTTAAGTGATATATTTATGAAAGTTTCTTCGAATATAGTGTTTGTATTATTTCTACAGGTGCATATAGGTACTAAATAAATAAGAATTTACACATTTGGTGTAGCCGTTACAGGTAATAACTTATGAGACGTATAAAATATAGATGGGTGGATCGCTAAATTGTCGCAAACCAATTCAAAATTAATTGACATTTTTAAGTATTCGAACCTCCTTGGTTTTTTTTTATGTAATAGGGAAGTTAACATCTCCCAAAATGATACACAAATGCACTACTTTTTGAGTATTTACTTATAATTATTTATTGTGCTAACGTTTAAAAATAGAATAAAGGTATGGCCTGACTAGTGGGTACCTGATAAAAAACAAATTTTCTAAAATTGTTTAGTCTTTAGAAATATACTAAACACACTGATGACTGATAACTATACATTTAAACATCTCAACAATTTTGAGTATAAACGTTACGAAATATAGGTACCAATATGTATTTATTAAATAAAATAGATAATGTTCTTCTTATTATTATTTTTAAACCATAACAATTTGTACAGAGATAAATGCTGTGCTGATGTCCTTCATCCTCTTAATTAATACTAGTTCAGTTTAAATTGCTTTTATAAAATACAGTTTAAGTAAATTGTTTCTGTGGTATAATGTAGTCAAGTTCACCTAGTTACACTTACCTTATATATACAATTGACATAGGTATACCTCTTCAAGCCTAGTTTGTAAATTACAAATATATTTAGTATGCCCTTATTAAATTATTAAAACATAATTGAGGTCATTGACAGTGTCACAGTGACTTGCTAATCTAATTCTCTCTTATGGAATAGGGAACGGGAATGGCCTCATGTTTACAATAAATCATGCCTATATTATACACATCCATGACCATATGGTGTTCCAGTGTATTGCATAATATTTCTCACACTTGTATATTGTATAATATTATATTATCATCAATGTTGTACAATTGAATTATTGCTTAATGTATTTTATTTTAGGCTAATCAATACCAAAAAAAGCAAGTACCGGCAACCAAAGGATTAGCATCCTCTTTTGGATTCAAAAAGACAACACAAACCAATAAGATCAGACCAATATCAGCTCCTATTCAATTTGTCGAAAAACCAAACAATTTTGAATCTAAAATGTTACCCAAACCAATGTCAACACCCGTGGAAAAATGTTCAAGAAGTATACCTAAAAGTAATACACCTTCTCCCAACAGGTTTGTTTCTTTACTATATTATTGAATTATTATTATATATATTATTATTATTATTGCATTTTTTTTTTATATAGGTTTGGATTTTGTAAACCAGCAACAAAACTTGTTCAACCCACAACACAAGTAACAAAAAAAGTAGAAGTGGAAAGAAGAAGTCAATCTGAACCACAAAAAAGGGAAATTCCTAAACTTTTATCAAGTGGAACAAAAATTGCTGTGTCCAGAGTTACCTCTAGTCATTTACCTAGGCCTCAAATACCAATCAGATATCAAGTATCCAAGAGTCCCGATAAAAATGCCAAAACAGCTACCAACATGAGACTAAAGAATGAAGCAATTAAACAAATGCAACAAGGAGTAACCATTCGAAAGTTAACTGACTCTGTTGAATTTACCGAAGTAATTGCTTTTAATAGACCATCAAGGCTAACAATAAATTCAAATGCTAAAGGTTCTTTAATTAGAGAACGGGCTAATAAATATTTAAGGTTAGTAGTTAATATACTTATAAAATTATTGAATTTTTTGTGTTTCATAAAGATATTTTTATGTTAAATAGACAAGTGTCAAGTTCATCTTCAAAACATTTGACATCATCTGATGATGATTCAGATGTAAGCAGTTATGAAGAAAAACACGACAAGTAAATATGTTGTAATACGTTGATTTTAAGAGGATATCAGCAAACCATTTGTTTTTCTCTTCTCTTTGCACAACATACCGAATTTGAGTTTAATAGAATCAGTTTTGTGTTATTGGCTTTAATATTTGAGTTTACTAATCACATTTTTTTTATTAAAAAAAAATATACAAAGATACTCATAGATAACAAAAAAATTGAAATATTGTATGAAATTCTACTTACACATCTTATTTTCTAACTTAAGTTTTATAATAGATAAATTTACTTAAGCATTAATCCAACAGCATGAGATTAGTTCTGCAGTACAAAAATGTGGTATATTGTGCATGGGTCAAAAAGAGAAAACAAATAGTGCACTGACTTCCTTTTTTTTCAAACTAGGTATTTTCATGGGTGGTCAAAGTGAGGTGGGAACATTCATGTCCGGTGTAGTTTGGAGGAAGGGGGGCACAAATATTTAACCCCATTTCCTGGAAGTCATAATAAATCTTAATTCACTCCCTCATTGGTCCTTAAAAACAAAGTAAAAAAGAAATAAAAATATTAAATATATTGTTAATGAATTTCAAGTTAGTTATTTGTGTTTTATTCCCCCAATTGTAATAATATCATAACAATAAGATTAGCTCAGTGTGGGCTGCAATCAAAATAAATCTTGGTCTTAATCTGATTGTGCTCGGGATTGCTGTGTAATTTGTGTTGACAAGAGGGGACTGGGAACTTGTTGACAGTTTTATACCAATATCATAATTGGACACTGTGGATGTAAGACTCGCCCATCGTTCATGTACCTTAATGAATATTCTTCACTTGGTAAAATCTGCATCCCATAGCATTTTTTTGTTTGACAATTATATCCAATTGTATGGTGACTGACAGTTTTATATTTGAATTATTTTTAAATAGTTATCTTTAGTTCAATATTTTGGATAGTTATCTTTTATTCAATATTTTGGGCGGAGCACTGGGTTAAGAAATGTATTATTTTGTGCATCTCGGTTTATAAATAATCAAACTATTAATATAAATATATATTACTAAATTACTAATTAGTAAAAAGTTTATTTTTATTTTTAATAGAGAGGAGTTTGTAAAAGAAAAGACTGAACAATTTGATAAGAAGGATACTACATGTAGTGATGAAGAATATGGACCTGGTGAAGCATTAGCAGTAGAAGAGTTCACAGAAATGAAAGATAAAATAAATGTCATTGATAATAAATTTGGTATTTGCTTAAAATTATGTACAATTAAATGAATATGGTCTCAAATTCTCTATGTTGACTCTAAATGATTTGTTTTTTTTATAGCCAATGTTGATATGTCTATATCATTACGTGATGTATTGTTAAATATTGAAGACACAACTTTTGCCACATTAGCTGCTATGTCTTCTACAATAAGAATCGAGGATGAAACATCACCAGATGATGAATGCTTAAGTCCCACTGAATCTGAATCAGCAGAATTTCCACATAGTAAAACAGGTATATTAAATTCTGGAGAAAAAAATATACATGAAAATTGTAAACAATATAAGTATAAACAAATAATTATTTTCAGTTACACGATAGATTATTTTCTATTTTAAACCGTGCATACATTAAATAATGAACCACTTATTAATATTATATGAAAGGTGTTGTCATTACAACTAATATTTCAAAACAAATATATTTTTAAAGTGGTTAAATTCTATGTTGAAGGCTTCAAGTAATATTTAAATTTTCCAACATTATGTAATTAATAATCTAATTGATTTATTGATTACATTACTATAGAAAAAAAAGTATTTTAACTTCTCAAAATGTGTGTTATGCTTTTCATTGTAAATAAGGATTAAAGTAATTAGTTGTCATGGAAAATCTAAAATCTAACAGAGAATGGGATGGGAGTACGGTCTTTTTTATTCAATTTGATATTGCAGTTACTTTGACACTAGGCACTAGAAAAAAATCAAAGAAGTCATAAATAAAAGATAATCAAATTAATTTTTCATAGCTGTGTTAAGAAAATAATATTTTGAAATCAATTTGGGAGATTTGTTTGAACCATTCACATTTTAGTTACAAAATAATTAACCTCTCCTACCTGTTGTATGGAAAATTAAAATTGTATTGTTTAAAATCATAAAAACCCTTATATATTCATCACACAATTAACTTTTATGTAAAAAAAAAACGGCTTGACAAGTAAATACTATTATATCTACACCGGATTGTGTTTAGGGTTTAGTTATAAAAAAAAAATATTTTTTACATGCATGTATTGTCTAATGCACATGCAATAAGTATAATTCTATTTACCCTTACAGAATCTACAAATAATGATAAACGTGATTCTATGTCACCAATTTTGCGTTGCAATATCTCCAAATCTGGTTCTTTTTCATCAGACACTAGAGATTTTTTTGATGATGAGATAGCTGACCAACCAGCACTTATGTTTAGTGGACCTCCATCAGAGTCTTGCAATGCAGAAGATATTGATGATGCTATATTTCGACTTGGAAACCATTCCAGTTGTAACAAAAAATGTAATTATTTATAGATTTATTTACTTTTAAGTAAAAAATGCAGCATGGTCGATTTCAAATTTTTTATACGCATTTTTAGCCAGATCCTTGAGAAGATCACTAAGTGCTGATGGGTCCTTAAGTGAGAGTCTCAACTCTGACGACCTGATGCTTGATGTGGACTATGATCAAACAGATGATAAACTGATTGATCCTGATAACGATGACCTATTGAAAACACTGGAGAGCACCAAACAAAATTCATTTAATGAATGGAAATCTTTGACATCCTCGAGGTGGGTATTGAATAATAATTACGTATTTACGTGGTTTACATGTATGTAATGTTATGTAATTGTATAACAACCGTGTACCGTGTAGAGGTGTAATAATGTATTGTAGACTAGTACAGCAGTATACACATTACACAGTACATACCTATATAGTAGATCCAAGCGTAGCACAGTACATACGAACAAATGAGTAAAAAATTTATAATATTTGGTGGGGGGGAAAAAAATATTTCATTGTTGTAAAGAATAAAGAGAGGCAATGTTAATGACCTTGGTCGTGTTCGTGTATCGTACCTATCTGCCAGTGTTCTACTACTGCCTGCATGGCTGCATCTGAGTCATTAAACCGGTTAGACTTACACCGTGTAGTCTGTTCCCGTCACTTATTTTTTCCTCAATTTTTATCAGATAGGATCAAACCTTTCTCCTTAGTTCCTTACGTGTTTTCTTCTTAGCCATTTCACTAAAACATCGAATTGAGACTATATAAAAAAGTACTCTATGCATAATCTACATTAAACGTGTTAAAATTTCGAAATGATAAAAGCATTTAACAGGTCTAAACGAGTGTTTAAAAGGTAAAATTAGTTTTAATCTGGTAAAATTAAAATTAAATGTACAGCAAAAACTGGATAATATAGAATTTAAATGGAATAATATACCTATTACTTACAAACACAAATTAAAAATATTTTTTTGTATTTAACCTTTTAGAAACAGTAGTAGTTCCCTCAAAGACGATGTAGTTCCAGTCAAAGATGAAACGGATTCCAAAGTAAGTAGGAAATTTAATTTTATTTCTGGGGCGGTATTGACAATTTTGAGTAATTTTGAAGTGGTTATTAGGGCAGCAATGGGGATGTGTTAATGAGCTTCGATCGGTTTCGAGAGGTAACGGACGACATAGCGAGTATCAAGAACATGCTATTCGAGTTAAACCGTGCTCTAATAGAGGTAATTTAAATAATATTTTTAATTATTTACAAGTATTTAATCTTTAATAATTATTATTGATTACATAAAATAACGATTGACCAATACATAACAAATTTTAATAAATAAGATACCCACCTATTTGGTCTAAATAAAAACAATTTTAAAAATAGATTTTAAAAATAGATTACTTTTATTTAAAATAAATAATAAAAACATCACTGACCATTCCAGAATCCAAGGCCTATTTTAAGATCTTTATTTATAACTATTTCAATTTGTCAAGGTTGAATGACAATTAATATTATTTAATCTCATGTCCTTTAACTGAATTATTTAAGGATCATCATTCGACATTCACTATATTATTTTTTATCCCATATCTTATAGAAGGTGATTTGTGTGTAATTCTAGGACAAGCAAGATATAACCTACCCAGAAGACCAGGAAGTTCATTGCTGTTACGAGAATCAAATCTTGGATTTGAAACAACAGGTTAGTTAAATTATTTTTCATTAAACATATTAGATAAGTACATGTCTCCATTTATTTTCAAACTAACTAGTCACTGTTTTAAACTTTAATTAATAAATTCAAAATGTGTCTTGTTTTTCATTTTAAAACACCTCATTAAATAGAAAATACCTAGATAGAAGCATGATTTGCATGATTATTTTAATGCTAAGCAATTTAAATATGAGGGAAATATGTATTTATAAATATCCCACTGCGTTTCGGAGACAAGTATGCATTTTCCTTGATCAGGAGCTGAGTTGCGGATCGTCCGTTTCAGATAGCTTATATGGCACAACAAATGGAACAGAAGGACCGTACTATTCAAATGCTCAACGAACAGATAGCCCAACGACCACGGCCATCAATAACAACAACAGAAACCCGAAATGCTGCCACTCAAACAGACAGAGTATGTAAATATAAAAATGATTATACAGAGTGATTTACCATAGTGCTCACCATTTTTTTTTCAACAATGCAGTCATTCAAAATTTGATTTTTAGAATTTTCAAATTTACTAGAAGTAATATATTACATATTTTCACATTATTTTTATTATTTTTACTTCTTAGAGAGGTCATGTGTGCCCTGTATTTTTTAAAATGAGGAAGGTGGTTTAATTGTGTAAATTATTGAATTTTGCTGAAAATTATATGACATATGAGAATCAAAATTTGAACTATTGTAGTTTTTTAAGTTATCTAACTTTTTTTACTAAGGATAGGATAATTTATTGGTTATTGATAATGGTTTTTAAAGATACCCGGGTTATGGCGGATAGACAATTTTAGTAATTTATATCAATCCAATGTTTTTAATTTTTAAAAACGCTCCAAGTTTAATAAATATTAAATCTATTTTAAATTTTTGTAAAACCATTTTATGAACTATTATCCTTAGTACATAGTTATACACATTTTAATAACTGAGAAACTACTCGTTTAACTTTGGAATGAGGTATTGTTATGTCAACATTTCCAACAAAATTATCTACTAGATAATTAACAGTAAAAAAGAAAAGTTCTCATTTGAAAAGCAGAAGTTTGTATTGCCACAAGACACTCTAAAATTGCATAAAACATCAAGAATTTGATGTTATGGTCTTTAAGTATATTTATTATTGATGGAAAAATAAGGATGATCAATGATGAGCATACTTAGTGAATCGTTCTGAATGTTACATATATATAGTAATTTAATTTTTTTTATTTAAGTGTCGGTCGACCACAGCTCCAACATTATGCACATTCGATAGAGAAGGACAGTCAAATGGTCGGCCTGTAATAAGGTAACTAATTTTACTATTAGTTTATATACCTATAATAATTTATTGTATTAAAAATATGATTATTTACACATGGAATATATGTTATTTGTTTATGCAAACAATGACTCGATTTCTGTCAACAACAGCTTCGCGTTGGGAAAGGTAGATAAACTAGACATGGTGTTTTGTTTATTCGCAATGTGTGCATTCGATTATTTCTGCTTGTCTATAATAATGCTTTGACCATCTGGCACTCACTCTTACATGAGCATGAAGGTAGTTTAAGTGTAGGTTTTTAATAATATTAATGAATTTAGGATTTGTATAAAATGTCAATGAAATAAAATATAAATTATGAATGACTTAAATATTTTATTATATGTGACAACATACCATCATTTTCTACCTTTCTTAATTTAATATTTTAAACTTATGCTTCATTTACTTTATTAATGTTGTAGGTCCTTTTTTTTCATATAAACATTAATATGTAGTTAACATATAAATCACTTATGCATGTAAGTATCTATTTTTTTAAACTACCTAACCGTTATGTATTTCCCGCATTGCATGGTAATAAACTATTCCTCATTTTTTAAAGACAAGATACATTTTGAATTTAAATAATGGTTAATTGTACTAGTGCACAATATTTAAGTGATGTAATCATTTACAAAACCATTTTTTATGTGATTGTTGTTAATGATATAATTAATAAGATATTAATTAAAATCTCGCGGTAATATTGTCAGACACATATGATAAAAATTATTAACTATAATAATGGCTTAGGGTATTGCCATACAAATTGTGTATAAATTAACATAATATAAAATAACAATAGTAATGAGAGACAAAGAAATTCAACAATTTAGTAACCTCAGTATTCTTTTCACAATACATTTGTTTAGTTATTATAATACAATAAATGTTAAAACTTAAAATTTTATACATCTCGATAAAAAAAGTTCAAATTAATGTAGTATAGGCCAAGTCATTAAAACGTAAGTGTAAAACTACACATTTTAAATTTAATTTTTTTTACTTTATTCTTCCCAAAAATTAATTCAAAATAAGTAGGTATACTAAAAATTGTCTAGATAAAAAATATATAATTTGTATGATAAATGTTCTTATTAATATGTGGAAATCATTTTAACACAAAAATAAGTAAGAATTTATATTTGGTAATTGCTAATTTTTTTAAATAAGAAAAAAATCATTGAAATTATATAAATATTTGTAGCTCTTTGATGGAGGAAAGTTTTTATACTTTTCTTTGATTTAAAGTAAATTGTAAATGTACAATTTAAATAATCATTATATATTAGAAAAAAACCTCTTACTGTGCAAAACTATTGAAAATGTAATTTTTGAAAGAAAAAAATGTAATATTTAATAAATTGCTTAAAGTACAATCTACTTCCAGTTTGCTACTAGAAACAATGAAAGTATAAGGTTGATAATATCACTTCACACAAAATAAATGATTATAGGCATAACAAAATGTATAGTCACTGTAGTATTTATCATCTGTGGTAATTACTGTAAAACTTAATTTAAATAATTTTTACTCAAAAATTTGTATCAAACAACGTTATTATAATCTAAAATAATACTATAAGTAACCTACTGATTGTTTCATTAATATTTCTATAAAAAATAATTCCAATATTTACCGCATATTATTAAAAACACAATGATGTTATATATTTTTAGGTGCAGTGACATGACAGAGAGATCAAAGTCTGTGTCGGGCAATCGCATACGTATCGGCATGCTAAAGCACAAATTTCTAATGGACGCAGGACGTACGTTGCCGAACGTTTGATTCCTTCCTTACGTTCTCTTCGACCAGTATTAACAAAAACATTCCATGTTTAATGTTCCATTAATAGTTAAATTTAAAACAACAATTTAAATTACCATTTATTTTTTACAATTAATAAGTTTGTCCACGTGTAATATACAAGTTTTGTTTCCAAATGTACAATTTATGTTCTTTATATATATATATATAATTTATTTTTTTTTTTGTGTAACTTAAATGTGGGTTTTTTTTTGCTTGAAATAAGTAATCTTTTTTCCACTTTACCAAAATCAAACTAGTCAATCTTTGTTTTGTTTATATGAATTATATTATATTTTGTTTTTGTTACATTCAATAACATTTTTCTAGAATAAAATTATTATGATTTAAACATAAAGGACCTACCTTTCCTAAAATAATAATAATTTTATATTTAAAATGTTTTCATTAAATACATTAAACTTCCAACAATAGTTATATTATTAAAAAGAAAATAAATGAATATTTAGTTTATTGTACCTACCTATGTATTATAAATATAGGTTAAAATGTTTAATATACTCTTTTAATTACTGTACTTAGTGATTATACGATATAAATACTTTATTTATTAACCTTAATTGAAAATTGTTATTTTTTCCTCTGAAACATTTATTCCAGGACTTAATTGTTACTGTTTGTATTTTTTTTTTCTTTTGATCCTTCTTGCTCTTCAGCTAGGTAGTCGTTTTGTATTTTAAGGGCTGTGCAAGTTTTGTGATCGATTCGGTTAGCTTTATTTTATAACAATGTAAAAATACATATATACATATTACATTTATTAATAAATCAATATTAACTTTATTATTATACCAATATCTCTCTGCAATCAATACCTTGTTAAATTAAATGTTATGTTTACTGTATTTTCAGCTCTTAATTATTTTTAGAATTTGAAAAATAATTTAATAATTATTGATACTTAGAATACAAAATTTGGTTTTTGTTCTGACCAATATAATATAATATTATGTTCGTAAAATATTCAGAAAATTTTAAAACAAGCGTTGATGTTTGTATTAATAATTTATGTAAGTAAGAAAATGTAGGTGGCACCTAATGCACTGAACATTTAAAAGTATCATGCTGTGGAATTTGATAATATGCCTGTTTTGTAACAATCAAAAAAATAAATAAACCAGAATAACTGCAAAAATTAAGTTACATTATAAATTTGCAATTTATTCAATGCAGGGTAGGTTTGAATCTAGCTAGATGGGTTCATTCATCTTCAATTCATTAGTTCAAATATTTCTGAATTACACATTTTTATTTTGCGGATAGTTTTATACTTTTATGTAGGTAAAGGTTATAATATAGACAGAAGATTTAAATGTTGTGAGTGGTAATGTACTATGTCCGTTCCACTAGCAACATTTTCATAAGAGATTCAAGGGTATCCAAAATTATACTGTCAATCATCAATTTGCACACAAAGTTGGACATCTGAAACCTGAAAATCTATTGCTGTTGTTAAATTATCTATGTCCTATATTATGAACCCAAGTTCTGGATAGTAAGAATACACCCAGTATACTCTTAAACCTATAAAGTAGTATAAAATATAAATAATAATAGTTAATAGCTTTATTGTGACCTATAGGCACTATAGTAACTACTAAGTACTATTTTTTTTTTTTTTTTTTATTTTATGAAAATATACAACTATACAATTAAGCACAACAAGTAATAGTGATGAAGAGGATTACATAACATGAAATGGCAGGATCTAGGACATTTTGGCGTGGCCGTTTTGGCATAGCCGTTTTGGCATGAAGCCATTTTGACGAGAAGCTGTTTTGGCGTAAATGTCTCAGGTTATTTATAGTATAAAATAAAAATAAATAAAATAAAATTATTTGTTATCATTTATTCGATTTAAAAAAATTCAGTTGATTAAAAAATTTTAAAAAAAATTTAAAAAAATACAAAAAACTTACTAAAAAAACATTATTATTGTAAAGAAATATTATGTGCTACACCTCTTAAATATGTTAAAATGTCTCGTGTATCTGCTTCTTGAACTATTTTTAATAGACGTTTGTCTGTGTCAATGTATTTTTTGAGCTTTTTAGAGGGACTCCTTCCTGATTCCAATTGAAATAAATATGTATCTCTTCCGCAGCTTGAATCTTTTTTAAGCACGTTATAAATGACCATATTGTAGGATGAACCGTTCCCATTTCAACATTTATTCTACGGTTGGCAGCCTCTGCATGATTATTTGTTCTGTGTTTACCATTTAAAACTCGTTCGTATAAATTCCAAATTGATGGTGGAAATCTAGCAGGTCTCCGTCCACGTCCATTTCGATTTAATCTTCCGATATAATTATCTTCAAACCATTCAAGCAAGGGCTGAAGTTCTTCTGGTAAATATGCATCTAATGCGTCGATTGCCATGTCAATATTGTTGATGCAAACAAATGCAATTGAAATTATCATTTTAACATGAATAGAAAAATCTGCATCGTTATTATATTTTGATATAAGATGCAATTCGCCAATTTTTTTTTTGAAATTTTTTGTGAGATGAAAAAAACAACCATAAATAATAATATTTGGGTAATGTTTTTTCACTGCATTTATAACAGCTAATTCAAAGTCTAATGAAATTGATGTAGGATTTAACCCAGGACATAGATTTATTAACATTTGAAAAAGTTTTTCATACGTTTTTGTATATTTATCAGGCAGTAATGNTAAAAAGTGGGGGTGAAATTTTAAAAGTCCCATCTCCAAACCATGTCTTAGAGTTTCGTAGAATATCCAAATATCGACGTCTTCCAAAAATTAAAATTCTTTCTGCCCCAGGTCCACTATCAGCTAATAAAAATTGTTCTTCATGCCCTTCAGAAGGTGAATACATTTTATACACTTCAGGTATTTCTAAAGTTATAAGATCCTTCGGTGCTTCAGGTACAGCTTGTATATTGTTTCGTTTTCTTCGAACTTGTTTTTTTAATGCATAATTAGATTGAATTGCTCCCTAAAAAAATTATAAAATAATAATTAATAGGGACCAATTATTAGGGCAAAATTATTTTTATTTTTTTATTGATCTTTACAAAAAACATCGGCTGCTCGGGCCATTAGTTAAATAATTGTTTTTTATCTACATACATGTTACAGATTTCAAGTGATCGAAAAGAGTGAGCATATAGGTTACCGCTCTGCTGTACCTGTACGGTAGCTAGGTTTCGAGTACTTGATTAAGTCACTGACCACTGTGATGTACTTGAAAAGGTACGTGATATTAGCATGTGTACAATTTGAATTAAACAATAAATCATTATTGCATACAAAAAACATATTAAATTTTATATTGCTAATATAGTAATTTATTTTACTAATAATTAAACGGTAGACTGAATTCATTTTTGATGAAAACCATGTATTCATTATGTTATTAAAATTTATAAGGATCAATATCGACTTACTGTTGAACACAGAATAGGTTCGTATAAATAGGATGTATCCGGAGCATAAGATTAATTAATAATATTTCAATGTTTTGAAAATGTCATTGTGACATTGAGAGATTAAAACAAAATATAATATACGCCATACGCCATACGCTTCAGTCTCAAATCCCCACGGAAATATTGAATTACAACAAAATAAGTAATAACTGTAAAATCCTTATTCTAATATCTATAATTTCGTCCCAATTTCAACTTCAATATTAATGTCTATAAACAAGAATTATGTTTAAATATTTTTTAGAGTTTTTTATTTTAGTATGAACTACCTATGAGGAACTTAAACTAGTAAATAATAATATGTTTTACATCTTAGCTATAAAAATATAATATATTTTATATCTTATACATTTTCGGATTGTTGACGAACTTAGTCAAAATATTTGAACTTCAAATGCTTTATAAAAAATAATATCACCTATATTACGAACACCCTTAGGCCTTGGCAATATCATGTGACATATTGAGATACAATATACTGTGTGGATTGACGATTGTGGACTGCAATATTACTGTAAAAGCCAAAAATCAAAATTCTTCGAAATCAGTATAATAATAATTAATAACATGCGTTACGAAGGTAGCCACTGGCACGGGCAGGTAACTTAATACGGAACAGCGGTTTTAGTATTTTTACGATACTAATTATGATACTATTTTTACGATTTTTAAATGAGTTATGTTCATTTTTAATTTACTCTACATTATATACGCAAAACTTTCGAAAAAAATTAGTTATTGTGAAAAACACAGACAATGTTTTTACCATCACGTTTCATAATAAGGTGATTTACTCTAATTTTTAAGCTAACGATGCTAAACCTCAATTAAATGATTTTTGTTATCAGATTTTTACATATAGTAGAGTAGATTAATTAAATTATAATTTACTTACTTTTGATATAACTGATCCAATGATAGCATGGGTACTCAGTTGAGATGTTTTCGCTACTCCCTTCATATAATTCATGTATTCAATGTATTTCAATTTAAATATGTCAGCCGTCAGGTACATGGTTATGCTCAACATATTTTATTACTTAATTTCCATTTTCCATTCTAAACAGCTATTAATTTTGTGCGTATTTAAAGTAGAACGAAAAATGTATAAGGTTATTAAAGATTAAGGAAAAAAATCTAAATTATACAAAAAAACCATAATTCCTGAGAGCTTTTTTAGATACACACAGACACAGGCCATAAGCCAACTGACCGGCATACCTATTTTAATTTTTTTCATTGTTCGTTGATCCATTTCATGGAAATGTTCATTAATATAATTTATTAAAGCTTCTTGCATGCACCCTATTTGATCAATAGTCGATATACGATGAGCATACGTAAGTTTGATTACCTATTCTTTTGGGGCTTACATATTTTACTCTTTGGTCTCAAAATTAAAATTTATTGTCACACACAATTTGCTACCCGGGTAAAGTAGGGGCATATTTTTTGTTCCCGAGCGCGCAACACAAAAAAATACGCTTATAGCACAAACGACGACGGCATATCCAGGTCGCAGAATAATAACATATTTATACAATTAAATAGATATAAATAGTGTTGTACATACTAGTCATACTACAGTAGTACAGTACATTTTCTTATGTCCCGAAAAATTCAACAATTTTTATTTTAAGTTTATATAAATGTTGAGAAATATATGAATATTACTATGCCGTCTGCTTGTGGTCGAACCGCGAATTAAAGTGACGCCGTCGTACATCAAACATCAAATTATTTTATAAAGCTGG